CTCTCTCAAGTAATTCCTCAGTTCCAGATTTCATTTCACGAGATGAACTGGTGGTTTCTTGAATTTTGGATTTGGGTTCTAAGGTTTGTTTGTTTGGAGTTTGTTCGGTGTTTTGATTCGTTTGACCATCGTAGTCTGAGTTCTCAGAGAGGCCGACAAGAAGGGCTTTTGCGGATTCCATGTTCTTTTCAAATTCCTCGTCGTCCATCGAGAGGGCTTTTGCATCTATATTGGTAATGAAAGACTCCACCGAGAGCATATTCGTGAAGAAGTAGGCTGACTCGGCTACCAGGCGAGTTTGTCGTCTAAATCGTTGGATATATGACAGATTTGAGTGCAGCTGAGGAGGATTTGCCTGGTCGGGTCATCACAATCATTTTTTTTAATTAATTCCAGTGATGATAAATAACAACGGATTCTTGAAAAAATCACTCCAATTTCTCCTAAAGGATCAGTAACCTCTGCGATTTCAAAACCAAGACAGCCATATATTTACAAGCAGGTAATCTGATATGACCAAACTCCACACCATAGAATTCACTGTACTTACTGTAAGAAACTTAATGATCTTTGGGTGATAAGTGGCTAGAGACAAGTAATTCAATGGAAGACCTGTGTCTTAATGTCGTTTAATTATTGTGACAATATGTTGTACTAGTTTTACTGCTTTAGTTTTACTGAGTGTAAATATAGAGCTGTTTAAATTACCTATATAAGACTGTACACAAGAAACTTTCTGGACTGAGGAGAAATGCAGAATTACCTTTATGGTGACATAAATTAGGACAGGGAGAAATTCATCCGCTCCTGGATGATCTTCATTGGAAGCAATGGATGCATTTAGCAACAGGTTATTGATGACTTTGCAACAATTTAGGATGCAGACTAGCTTGTCTCTTGGCGCCTTGTACATGTTAATCTTCTGAAGCTCCTTTTGAGCAAACTGTCAGAACAGAAGAACGAAAATGGAGTCAGAGTTCTTGCTAAAGACCTCGTGATAAAGGTTTATCATTCTCATACATTGTCCTACAGTAAATACATCCCATATTTAAACCTAAAGAGTTTCATATCAATACTGTTTTCCTTTTTTCTTTCATTTAAAGAACAGCTTCATACTAACCTTCCAAAACTAAGGAAACCATTGCAGAAGTTACTTTTTACGGGGATAGTGGATACAGAGAGCAGATATTCATTCATTTTTTCACAAAGAAGCATTGTTATATTTAATAATAGGAAGCAAGTTTGTTTACCACTAGCAGCAGTAATCCCACAATAACTTCTTTAAGATTTGCTAGAATAATAAAAGTGCCACTTGAGATATTCAGTTTTGGTGGTTGATAAAAAATCAGATGTACCAAAGAGGATCATGCAAGATACAGATTAAACGATAATGAAAAGTATTTAATGCAACATGGAAATCACTGTTTCATTAACTGACTCACCAACCATGATGCTTCATTTTGATATGTTGGCTTGATATCCAAATTCTCAGGCTTAATAAATTGCTGAATCAAAGCCATTTTTTCATGAAGCTGCTCATCCGCTTTGACATCTTCAGGAATTGAAGCAAATACACGAGTAAACAATTTTGTCATAACATATTTCTCCAGTCCCTGCGATTGAAAGAATGCATGAAAGGCAGAAAAAAGGAATACTCTCAAGAGTCGAGACTGATACAATAACATTTGGGGTTCGTTTGCATGATATATACACTGACATTTGAGAGAGAGAGAGAGAGAGAGAGAGAGAATCATAGGACTCGCATATTATGGTTTTCTATTTAACATCCCTCAAACATAACCAACCTCAGCTCCACACAAACACCAAACCAGATATTTAACACTGTACATATCAGTTTAACAAAACTCATAATACCCGCATTTGAACCCCTTTTAAATAGTTACCTACCATCTCGAGACAAGAAATAAGTCAGTAGTAGATACAAAAGAAAAACGCAAACTGACAACGGCATTGCCAAAATTACATAACTTAAAAACGAAAAACATAACAAATCCATCTAAGATACTTCAGTAGCCAGGACTACATTAAAACTGAACTATGTGTAAACACGGATAAGAGCTGGAGCAGTTATAGGGAAATAGATAAAAGGTCTGCAGATCGCCTTATAAAAAAAATTCAAGTTATGTTACACGAAATGACCCAACAATAGGAATCTGAAAAGTCGTCTTAACCTAATCAGTTATATATCACGATTCCTAGTTTAAACAGGTAAATGATACTCACTTCACCTGCACTCTCCAACTCCTCCTCTGTAGATCCAGCCCAAAGGGAGTGGGCCCTGAAAGCCGTTTCCATATTTCCCAGGAATTCCTGCACGGCTGCACTGTCCTTCTCGGCATCCGGCGCATTGTTCAGAAAGGACACTATAAAACTGCAAGATCCCATTTAAAAACCCATATCTATTATCAATGCTTCAAATTATTCCAAGTTGAAAATGCTCCAGATGGCAACCAGTTAAAAGGAGCACTTATACAAATAAGAACTAAATGGCTCACTATGATCCTGCATTATCTCAAGTATGTATTAGCATATGATTTCAACAATTAAGAATAAAATTTGATGCCTTTATGCACTAGAGAATGCTCATAACCACTTGCATTTGATGTGTGCATTAACATCATCGTTCCGCGATATTTTTCAAATTAAATAATCTAAAATCCCCAATATACCATGGATCGATAGCTAAAATCAAAATTACGATTGATTATCACTCTTTCGAAGCTCAGCTAAACCAACACACCAAATTTCCAGCAATAATCGGAATCTTCAGAGAAAATCCTCTGAAAATCCGGATATTCACACCCAGGAAGACGATCAATGACTCTAAGCTAGCAATAACTTCACTCCACAAAAAGCCTACCTCAGAACAACATTTCTTTTAGTCTTTGAATCTAAACATTACAAACAAGCTAAGCTGTGCGCGTATACATTCAACGGCGCGTATGCCTATCGCTACCTTTTGATGGCTTTGACAAAGTCGGCCGCGGAAGGGTGGCGCATCCGCTCGAGGAAGTCGTGCCACGTCAGCGGCGCCGTGGAAGAGCCGAACACGTCGGAGTTCTCCATCGGCGATGAGTCGGGCCGGCGGGTGAGATTTACTATGTTTTTTGTTCAGAGTCAACAATGAGTGACAGAGTAACCGTACAAAATGGACAAGATATTACCGCCTGGGTCGGCCCATTTTATTTTATTTCCCGGGCCGATAATTGAGGATGAGCCAAAATTATTATTGGGTTTAGTAAAATCAAGAAAAATATTCCAAGATAGGCTGATTAATTTACTCTCCTATGGCAGCAAACGAGCGGAGCCGAGTCGAGTAGGATTGAATTTTAATTTCAGCTGTTTGAGCTCGAGCTCGAGCTCGAGCTCGTCGAACTCGATTTTTTATGCTCGAGTTCGACTCGATAAAAAATTACAATAGCTCGAGCTCGACTCGAAATCAAAATGCCTGAGCTCGGCTCGAAAATAAAGTAAAATTACCATAAAGGACCTATGCTAACATATATAAAGGGTATTTTAATTATTTAGCATTATCACTAGCCGCTCGACAAGGCAAAATATGGGCTCGAGTTCGACTCGAATTCGGTCAAACTCGAGTTCGAGTGGAGCCTTGACTCGAGCGCTCGCGAGCCGAATTCGGTCAAACTCGAGCTCGAGTCGACCCTTGACTCGAGCGCCCGCGAGAGGCTCGCGAGCTGCTCGGTCGTTTGCAGCTCTACTCTCGTTTAATATAAATTTCTTTTTATTAATACATTTTATAAGTTTTTTAACGGTAAATATATTAATTTTTATTATTTTGAACAGTTGATCTGTGGTTTATGTTGTCATTGATCTTTAAATTGTATTTTGTCTTTGTTTATAACTTGTTTATTAACGATTTATTTATGATGTCATTATAAATAATCTTATTTTGCTTACAACATTTGAAATTTCATATGTTGATATGGTAGTCGGTACTGTTGGTGGGTCATTGCCATTGATAATTTGATATAGAATATGTTTCAAAAATTTTGTTACTTTTTAGCTACCTTCTGAAAAATTTAAGAATCTCAAAATATATGTAAGTGTAAGTTCCCTTTCAAATTATCTCCTCATATGCAGGAATTAAATTAACTTGGCTTGTTTGTGTTTTAGCATTTTGTGTTAAAACGATAATATAAAAACAACTAAAATTCATGTTTGATAAGATAGCTTTTCAGGCTAGCGGGTTGATATGAACCGTTACGAGTGAAAACGCTCCAATCTGGAATGTTTTGTATCAAAGGATTGGCAAATTGGGCTAATTATATAAAATTGATTTTATAGTGGTATGTATAATTACCTTTTTCTACTTCTAGAATTTCAATGGCGGGAAGAAAATATAATAAAAAAAATAATCTTTGAATTGATTGAGAAATTGTACATACTTTTAAAAAGATTGATGGACTAATGTATCAATTTTGAATTGATGTGATTTATTTATTTGATTTTAAATATTTTAAGTATTTAGATTAAAGAATTACAAAATTAACTTAATCTTGTTAAGCAAAATATTTAAAGATATACAAATGAATTTCCAAATAATTTTATATATTAATCTTTAATTTACCATCAAGCACTTTTTGTAACCGTTTAGTTTATTCGTTGGTCAAAATAGCTAACACGTACAATTAGATTGTCAAAACAGCTCATACAATCCACTAACCACTAAAACTAAACAACAATTACCAAATAGGGCCAATAGCTCCATCGTGGTAGAGTATATAATCAAAAAGTTCTAAGGGCTTTTTAGTTTTTTATAGTCTAGTGAGGCAGACAAAAATTATTGTTATAAGTAGATATGAAGAAGCTTCAATCATATTTGAAAGAGGTTGGAGCATATATTGAAACAATTATGGAAGAAATGGCTATAACTGAGTTGTGCTTGAAGAGTAACAGTATTGAGGAGCAATGGATTCTGATATCTTGGTTGATCACAAATTGCATGTTGTAGTATTGTTAAGCTTTTAGACTGGTTGATCTTTTTTGGTTCAAACTTTGTAATTTAGACTTTGTTGTAGTGTTCAAAATTTTAGCATAGATTGATCTTTGTTGTGTTCTCTTTTGGTATATGTTGTATCCATATGTTGTTGTCTTTTGGCATAATGAAGAGGAAGAGGGCAATGTTTTGTTTTTTAGAGTATGTAATGACATTTATGTTGATGTTGTTTATATAATGTGGTTTTTGATCTTGTTCCATTTGCTATTTATCCTAGTATTGAACTAAAATTGTATGTATTAACTTGTAAGATTTGGAGTAGTTGAAAGAATAAAAATAAAAAATACTTACATTCCACAATAGTATGTCTCCAACCTGTTTTTACAAGGCCAAAACAAATCAAAACACTCATGAACAAATAAATGAACTATGTTAGAAGACTACAAAACCATTATCTCCAAAAACCAACCATTCAACCAAAACATACTAAGTCTCATTGTTTAAAAAATACTCCAATCTAAGAACAACATCCCCGAAAGGCAAATACCATACAAAACACAATTAATTTTAATTGTTTATATATTCCAAATCAACCACATCCCTCACAAATTATAACGTTGAATCCAATAGGTTCCCAATATCTCTTACTTAGATTGGGACTGCACCACATACTTGTTTACTACTGGTCCTTTTGCTATTCAAAGGCAACTTGTTTTTTCTTGATTACCTATGTATTGGATAAAATCGTTATAATATGTTGAACTACGTAGGAGAAAAGATAATGAATCTATGTTATAATAAGTGTTGATACCTCTAGTTTTCTCGTCGAGCACAACGTCTTACTCTTGGCATGAGCTTTAGGAGTTCATTTTGGCATTATTTTCTGGGTAGGTGTAAACTTTTTGACTAATTTTTTGTTAACTTTGTACGTGTTGTTGCAATCCCACTATGACCTGCAGACTGGCTTTGGCTTTTTGTGATTCTTGTAAATATGCCTTGCAGAATGACTTTGTTTTTTTGCGAAACTTGTAGGTGTAGTTTCTTTCACCATGTCTTGCAGACAAACTCCCTTTTCTTGTGACCCTTGTAGGTAAAATTGCTCCCTCAACATGTTTTTCAGGCTGACTATGACTTCTTGTGACCCTTGCAGGTGTATTTGCAGTTCCACCTTGATTTGCAACAAATTCTTGTATCTCTAAAACTTCTTTTTCACTTACAGTTGTTTTTCTCTTTTTTTATCTTCACAACCTAATATGCAGATGTAACTATGCAATTTATTTTCAGTTGAATAATAACACAAACTATAAGGCTAAGTAGTAAATGTAACAACTACCATTTACATTTCTCAAAGAAAACTCTTTGTTAGGGGCTGGTATAGGAAGTCATTCAGTTGGTACATCCTTGTCTGCTCTTAAAAAAGGGCACCCTCTGATGTTGTGTTTGTCTTTGTGACATAGAGAATGTTTATAATTGTCCCTTTTTACTCATTCTCACATGGACTTGTTTTTGTTTTTTTCCTTTCAGATATGTTTCATGTGTTTTGTCTTCTTGGCATTGTGTTTTGCCTTGGCCTTCCATGTATATTCCCAATGTATGGTGGTTTCAATGGATGGTGGTTCCAATGATCGATAAGAACTATAGGTTTTTAATTAATTTTGATGTCTAGAGTGTTGGTTGAACTTAAGTTAGAGGGAGCCCAAGAGGCATCACTTGAAATGTCGTTTTTGCACTCCAAATAAGTATGTTAGTCTCGCACGCTCATTTTTCCAGTAATTTTGGGACCGCCGATGGTCGGAGATCGCAATATAGACATTATGTGTATTACAGAATGCAAGTTATTACAAAAAAATTGTGCAAATTACAAATTTCAAGTACACAAATAGTACAGGTTGCAAATAATGGTTTGCCCTATTATTAGTAAGTTACCCACCCGTTAGATGTCTCTCGACAGGCATCACTATGGCTACACTAAATCATATAATACAGATCAATAATGTAAGTTCATGTTCATCTTCTTTTTTTCCATCAAACAATAACCAATTAATAACTGAAAACCTAAAAGAATACAACCGATGTGTCAACTGACACTACTGGAACCAGAACAAATTTGAACTCTGATCCACCCACTTGAAACTACTAAGATGACCAATGGATATGAACTCCATAAAAAGAGACACAAGCACCTGACAAAAGTCCAAAAAATGAGACGCAAACTTCATATAAGAGACTAAAAATCAGACGCAACTGGACTAATAAAACGGAAAACAAAGAAAAATAAAAGCGACGCACGCCTAATACACAAATAGACTAAGACCTTCCTTACACCTAGTAGGCAAACCACACTATCACTCAAACCGGCACACGAGCCAATCCCCGCCCACAGCAAAGAAACCCAACAGATTTGGGATGTTTGGTAGAATATGGATATCAAGGATAGGTAGATAAGAACTATGACGCGTTATAAAGCAAATAAGAGAGTTGATAGTCCACGGCTAAACTAATATGCTGGGAAATTGATAGCTAAAATGTTATTAATTGATAGAAGCACAAGGCTTTTGCAAAATTTGCTTAAGCTAGAGATCATCATTAAACTCATAATTCAGATAATTACCTTCACTTGATAGCCCATCAAGTTCAATTAAACACAAATGGTGAAAAGTGACATCACACGTTCTACTCACGGTGTCCCATCCCATTATTAGTACTGAAGATGATTAACAATAATTGCATCAATAATGAAGATGATTAAATCTCACAATCCAACCAACCTTATTAGTATTGAAGATGATTAACAATAATTGCCTCAATAATGAAAATGATTAAATCTCACAATCCACCCAAACTAACATGGGAAAACCAGTTTCAAAAGCTAGCCGTCGACAGCTGATACAAACTGAACACGAGCCACAACCATGTCGTGCAAACTTCCAGACTGGTCATAACAAAAGTACAGTACTCGAGCAAGGAAAACAAATGGCGAACGGCAGAGAAAATTGCAACTGTTTAGAATATCAGAAAAAGACTAAAATGTGTGTTCCTACTGCTGTCGAAAATCAAATACTAGTTGCAAAAAAACGCATAATCCAGAATATCTAGATATATGTGTAAA